ACACCAGATGTGCTCCCGGGGTAGAGTTACACAGCTGAGTCACACCGAGTGTGCTCCCAGGGTGGAGTTACACTGGGTGTGCTCCCACTTATTGCCAGGGATGGAAAGGTCAACTGGGCTCCCTACAGAGCTCTGAAAAAAATGCCAGGTATTAGTTTAAAAGATGGAGAAAAATATGGCTGGGTGGATAAACCTTGCATCACTAGCAAATGTTGTATGTAGGAATTAAGAAACAGTGCTTGGAATTTGAGCATTTCTCGGCTAGTGTCCAAAGGGTTGCGTATGTGTTCTCACTGATCCCCACAGTCAGCTTGTGCTTGGGGGGAGGGCATGCTCACAGCCTCCTCTTGTTTGTTGAGTCAGGTTCTCATGTAGCCCAGGCTGGCCTCAAACTATCTATATAGCCAAGGATGACCCTGGACTGTTGCTCTTCCTTCTTCTACCTCCTGAGTACTAGGATTACAGGTGTGAGCTGGTGTGCCTGGCTTATGCAGTGCTGGGGATCACACCAGGACTTCCAGAAGCCAGGAGAGTATTCCACCAACTGAGCCACTTACCCAGCTCTTCTGCCTCTGCCTGCAAATCGATTTAAAACAAAAGCTGCAGCTCTCTAAAAAGGTCTGTAGGGTGACTATTGCTGCATCTAGTTTAAGGAATCCACACCCACCTCAAAGATCTGATATTTGGGGGAAACCCTCATTTTCACAAAGTGAGTGAGATAAATGCGCCAGACAGCAAAACTATGCAAAGTAGCAGCATTAGCAAGCAAAGCAGAGAGAGTGTCCAGTCTTTTGGAACTCAATAAAAAACAAAGCAACCCATACAAAGCTCATCTTTGTAGAGTCAGGCTCTCTCTCTCTCTCTCTCTTTCTCTCTCTCTCTCTCTCTCTCTCTCTCTCTCTCTCTCACACACACACACACACACACACACACATTTTTATTCTTTGTGACTTCAGGTTAGTACCTGCAGCACATTGTAAAGAATCAGTCATTATGTTCAAAAAGAGTCAAGGACATTCTAAGAAATGCAACAAAAATTGAAGGAGCAGGTGGCAGGTGGACGGACTGGTGCCAGATTGGAGTC